CACAAGAACATCCAACAAACACGCAGAACATTAGGGTGTACCCTCCCCGAACCGACCTCGGTCTTACTCTGTCCGACTGTAAGGTATCTGGGCCACGTCCCATTGTGCTTCGCAAAAACGCCACGGGGCAACGTATAGTGTATCATTATTGTCTGGCAGGTTCTCTGGGCGACAGGCGTTAAACAACACACATATATATACACACATATACATATATATATATATATATATATACATGCACACCGTGTATCTGGGACGGAATCTGCCACTGAGTGGTGAACAAACCCAACATGCTACAGTGGACCTGCTGCTCGTGGCCCCGACTCCTCTCTGGACCCGCGCCGGCTCCCGCAAGAAGGCGACCCCAACTGATCCCCGCCAGGAGGAGGAGGAGGGAAGAGGAGGAGGAGGAGGAGGAGGAGGAGGAGGAGGAGGAGGAGGAGGCGGATGAGGAGGAGGAGGAGGAGGAGGTGGAGAAGCAGAGGGGGGGGAGCTGAAGGGAGTAGGAGGGGAGGGAGAAGGAGGAGGAAGGAGGAGAGAGAGAGTAGTGAGGAGGAAGGGTGAGGGGGTGATAGGATGATGATGAAGAGGAGAGGAGGAGGAGGAGGAGGAGGAGGAGGAGGAGGAGGTGGACGGGGTGGAGAAGGATGAGGAGGAGGGGGCCCCAGAACGCCCCGGGGCGCGGGCCGCGCCGCAATTCTATGCCCGGCGGCGGCGGGGCGGCGCATTTCCCCCTCCCGGGGGGCTCGAGCTGCCCACGGCGCAGGAGCTGGCCGGCGAACTCGAGCCCGAGGCACGGGACCTCGGCTGCAGCGTATTAAGTCGGGCGTGTCCCCCTACAGGGGGATGTTCGACGAAAAACAAAAAATACCAAAAAAATACCACAGAAATGTGGAAAAAAACACGAAAAAATAGTCCCCAGACTATTTTTGGGCTATTTTCTGATCATTTTGGGGGTATTCTTTATTTGTCGTCGAAAATCCCCCCTGTAGGGGGACAGGCCCGATTTAATGCTACAGTGGGCGGGCGGCGGAGGAGGCAGGCGCAGCGCGTGCCGCGGGGAGGAGGCGGCGCGGCGGGGCTGCCGGCCCCCGCGGGCGCCCAGGTTGCAGTGCTCTGCGCCGGGGGACTGCCCGAGGAGGGGGCCGAGCAGGCAGGGAGGCGCGAGGGTGCCCCTGAGAACGTCACTCGACCTTACTCGGGGGCGGCCAAGAGGGGGGCGTCCAAGAGGGGGGGGCGCAAATCATGGCCAGCGGCATGTGCGCGGCCCAAGGGGGGGGCAAGCTACGCGGAGGCGGAGGACATGAAGAGGCGCCATGAGCCCGAGAAAAAAATCGGGGCCCACGCGGGGATCCCCCCCTAAGTCAGCACCCCCCTCGTTTGCCGCCGCCCGACCTTAACCGTGCGCGTCCTCCTCTCCTCCCACTCACCCCCCCTCCGTCCCCCTCATCCTCCTCACCTCCTCCTCTCCTCCTCCTCCTCCTCCACAATTTCTCAATATGAATACTACTCTCCCTCTTCCCCTGATGACGTCTTGGAAATGTTCGCCCCCCCCCGCGTACTGTTTTTTTTTTACACAGGTTTCCCCGGAGTTGGGTTTTCGCCTGCATTTGTTTCCAAAATGCTGCTCTCGCTGAGGCGAATTTCTTCTTCCGGCGCCCGGGAGGCCTCCCCGGCCGATTCCGACGCCCAGGCCGGCGCCCGAGCCGGCGCCCGGGCCGGACGCCCGAGCCGGCGCCCGGGCCGGCGCCCGGGCCGGGTCCGGAGCCGGTTCCGGCCGGCGCCGGAAAATCGAGTTCCGAGGCGGCGCCGAAAAAAGGCCATTCCAATACAAGTTTTTCTTTTGAAAATGCTGAATTTCTGCTTCTGGCACCCGGGAAACCTTCCCCAGAGTTAGGCTTTCGCTTGCAATTTTTCCCAAAATGCTGCTCTCGCTGAGGCGCCGGCCTCATTTTCGGGGCCCGCTCGTTCCGAATCGTGCTCTCGCTGCAGCGCTGGCCTCATTTCCGTGCTTCCGCTGGTTCCGAATCGTGCTCCCGCTGCAGCGCTGGCCTCATTTCCGCGCTTCCGCTCGTTTCGACTCGTGCTCGCGCTGCAGCGCTGGCGTCATTTCCCGTGCCATGCACGGCATGCAGTGCAATGCCAGGTTGATGCTACGCTTCGTGGTGCTTTTCTACGCCATGCCAAGCCGTGCTCTACAATGCATCGCGTACCCTTTCGGGATCATCGCCCTGCTTCACATCCGACTGTGCGAGTAGAGAGGGGATCTGAGCCATGGTAAGGGATGGGAGGGAGGGGTAGGATGTCAGATATGACGCGAGCGCACCTAGCTTGTCCTCCTCCCCCTCCTCCTCCTCCCCCCCTCCTCCTCCTCTCCTCCTCCTCCTCCTCCTCCTCCTCCTCCCTCCTCCTCCTCCTCCCCCTCCTCCTCCTCCCCCTCCTCCTCCTCCTCCTCCTCCTCCTCCTCCTCCTCCTCCTCCTCCTCCTCCTCCCCCTCCTCCTCCTCCCTCCTCCTCCTCCTCCTCCTCCTCCTCCTCTCTCCTCCTCCTCCTCCTCCTCCTCCCTCCTGCCTCCAGGGGGGGTTCCCCCCCCCCCTGGGCGTCTCGGAAGGCCGCCCCCCCCGCGCGCCACACACACACACACCCCGCGCGCGCGGCTGCCCGAGGCTGGAGCCGCCGGCCCGCGCGCGGGGGGCCGAGGCCGGCCGCAGCGTGCTCGTCGCGGTGGCGGAGGAGGGGGACGCCGGGGCGTGCCGCACGCTCAGCGGGCCTTGGAGGAGGAGAAGGAGGAGGAGGAGGAGGAGGAGGAGGAGTAACAGGAGTAACAGGAGGAGGAGGAGGAGGAGGAGGAGGAGAAGGAAGAGGAGGAGGATGAGGACGCGAAGTACATATTGCGAGGAGGACGCGAATAGGGGAACAAAAAGTGGCGCAAGCATAAAAACTCGGAGGTCCGCGCGGATTTCTCGGATCGGCGCGGGGGCCCCCCGGCGGCGCCTGCGGCGCCGCACGCTCAGCGGGCCTTGTGGAAAGGTCGGGTATGGCCAGGACCCCGGGTAAGGGGAACCGGTCAGTGGTAGGGCCCCGGAGCCTTTGAGTTGGCCAGAATCACTAAACCAGGTTTGCCATAGCTGGTGTTTTTTCGGGTGGCGACAGTTCCGATCAGTGGAAATGGGACGGGGGGGCGCCCCCGGTACAGATCACTAAACCAGGTTCCACTAAACCCTGTTCTGCCAACGCCCGAAAAGGGCAGGCCCGCTTTCTGGACCGTCTTCGAGAAAATCTTCGTGCATCGCCGACGGCGATAACGGTGACGATGGCGATGGTCGTCGTCATCGTCATCGTCATCGTCATCGTCGTCGCAGAATTATGCTAACGGAGTTCCCCACATAAAGAGATTAACGGTTTCGTGGGACCCATTTTCTTGATGCCCTCCTCGCTTTGGCGGGGCCCCGCTGGAAGGGGGGAGGGCTACGAAACCTGGCGAAGAGTAATGCTTTCACCGACCTGCAGGGGTGGGAGGGGCACGAAACCATGTAAATAGTATGGTTTTCCGATACCCTCTTCGCTCAGGCGGGGCCTCCCTGGAGACGTGGGAGGGGCACGAAACCATGTAAATAGTATGGTTTTCGGATACCCTCCTCGCTCAGGCGGGGCCTCCCTGGAGGTGTGGGAGGGGCACGAAACCATGTAAATAGTATGGTTTTGCCTCCCTGGAGAGGTGGGATGGGGCACGAAACCATGTAAATAGTATGGTTTTCGGATACCCTCCTCGCTCAGGCGGGGCCTCCCTGGGGGGTGGGAGGGGCACGAAACCATGTAAATAGTATGGTTTTCGGATACCCTCCTCGCTCAGGCGGGGCCTCCCTGGAGGGGTGGGAGGGGCACGAAACCATGTAAATAGTATGGTTTTCGGATACCCTCCTCGCTCAGGCGGGGCCTCCCTGGAGGGTGGGAGGGGCACGAAACCATGTAAATAGTATGGTTTCCGATACCCTCCTCGCTCAGGCGGGGCCTCCCTGGAGGGGTGGGAGGGGCACGAAACCATGTAAATAGTATGGTTTCCGATACCCTCCTCGCTCAGGCGGGGCCTCCCTGGAGGGGTGGGAGGGGCACGAAACCATGTAAATAGTATGGTTTCCGATACCCTCCTCGCTCAGGCGGGGCCTCCCTGGAGGGGTGGGAGGGGCACGAAACCATGTAAATAGTATGGTATTCCGATACCCTCCTCGCTCAGGCGGGGCCTCCCTGGAGGGGTGGGAGGGGCACGAAACCATGTAAATAGTATGGTATTCCGATACCCTCCTCGCTCAGGCGGGGCCTCCCTGGAGGGGTGGGAGGGGCACGAAACCATGTAAATAGTATGGTATTCCGATACCCTCCTCGCTCAGGCGGGGCCTCCCTGGAGGGGTGGGAGGGGCACGAAACCATGCTAAGGTAGTATAGGGTTTTCGGTATGGAGTGGTATGGAATGGTATGGTAGGTATGGTATGGTACGGTGTGGCATTGGTGTGATATGGTATGGTATGCTATGGTACGCCATGGTATGGTATGGTACGGTATGGTACGTATGGTGTGGTGGTATGGTATGGTATGGTATGGTATGTGTGGTAGGAACTATGGTATGGTATGGTGTGTGTGGTAGGAATAATATTGTGCTGTATGGAAGATGGAGCGGGAGGTGGGTGGGAAGGAGAGGGTGTTCTGGGAAAACAAGAACCCCACTCAGGATGTGGGGAAAAAACTGTTCACCGAAACGGTTAACAAAATGTTGAACGAAACGGCCTGGGCCGTCCAGGGATTCCGAGGACGTTCGGAGCCGGTTCGAGAACGTTTCGGGTCCAGTAAAGAAAAGGTGTGATTTGGAGCAGGCCCCCACCAGGGCAAACGAAAAGTGTGAGGCAACGGCGCTAGAAACGTCGAATCTATGCGCCCGAAGCGGTATAAAAGATCCGAAAACGAAAATGATTAAAAAGTATGTTGCCGATTCCAGGGCCCACTAAGGTCACACCGCGACGGGCCTGGAGGAGTGCTACGTCTCTGTGATCTGGGCCATGGAGCACGGCATGCGAAGAAGACAACTGCATAGCAGTAAATTTTCTCAGAGGTCCGCGCGGATGTGTTGGATCGGCGATGGAACCCGCCATGGTAGCGCCTCCTGCGCCGCCCATGGCGCGCGCCGCGCTCCAGGGACGGGGGCCCAGCGCCGATCCAGTAAATGCGCGGACCACCGACAGTATATGTTTGTGCCGTTGCGTCTTCTTCGAGGCATCGCCGAGCACCCCGAGTGGTACCCCGGCCTGACGTCCAGCTCGGCCTTCGAGGAATTCCAGGCTGTGCTGCACCGTGGCGGCTACGGCAACTGCCCGGCCCCATGCGCGGTGGGGGCCATGCCCGACGACCATGGGGCGGGCGCAAGACAGCCCAAGGGCTCGTGCAAGACGGCCGAGTACGGCACGCCCTGCTACGAACGGGTGATGTGGGTCATGCGCAACGGCATCTTTGAGCATCCGGAGTGGTATCCCACCGTGGACATCCTGTCGGACTTCGAGGAGGTCCAGGCCGCGCTGGCCGAGAAGGAGGAGGCTGGTTGCGTGCAGCCTTGCAACGTGTCCTACTCGGGGAGAGTTGGCAAGGCGAGGGTTGGTGGGATCTGCTACGGATTGGCGCCCCACCCCCCTGACGGAGTTCCTTCGCGCTGGGCGCTGCCAAAATCCGATCAAATCAACTGCTACCTTTGGCTCAGGGACCGGAACTTCGTGAGCGACGCCGACAGGGAGCTGGACCGCAACTGGTGCTGGGTCGGCCTGAAAGAGTTCGGATGCCACAGGCACTTCTACGACCACCTCACCTGGGCTCAGATGCAGCACCAGGCCGTGGCTGTGGGCGCCACCAAGGGGCTGGACTTCCGGCCGCTGCAGGGCCCTGAGTTGTGCGACCGGCCAGTCCTGGGCGGTCCGAAGCGGGGCGGCTGGAACTACGCGGACAGGGACGCGGCCTCCGCGTGGTTCGAGGAGAACGCCGTCGTCTACGTGCTCAGCCTGCCGGACAGCCCGCGCAGGGCCACCGTGAGCCGGTGCATGGAGAAACGGGCCATCCCCTTCTCGGGGGCTGCTACAAGGTGCCCCTGGCCCAGGGTACCCCCAGCTTGTCGCTCCGTGTTGAAACCCCTGGGCCCCCTGGGCTTCGCGAGGGATGCCCTGGAGGCCGTGGGGGGCAGCTGTGGAGAGCCTGGGGGCAGCTTGGGCCAGGGGCGCCTCTTGCAGCACCCGACCTTCGAGTTCTCCGACGGCGTCGACATGCGGCAGCCGGGCGCCCTCGAGGCCGCCAAGGTCGAGGGGCTAGTGCCAGAGGAGTTCGATTTCGAGGCTGCGCAGGCGGAGGCCTACAGCGAGCGGCAGGGCATGGGGACTGAAGGACTTCGAGCAGTGGCGAAGCGTCTTGGTTTGCCCAGGGTAAGCCCACCAAGTAATGTTCTGAGAACCCGTCGTGGCTTGCACGAACCGTTCCTTACAGCTCTAAGAGCCTTTGCCACCGTGGTTCGCCACGGCCGCCCACCGCGCTCTGGCCCTGCGCGCCAGGCTGCTGCTGCCCGCCTGGTTGCTCATCGTCGAATTATTCGGCGTCTGAGCGTCCCTGCTTCCTCTCGGCCATCTCCCTCCCTCCTTGCACGCCGGCCAATTCGCTAGTTAGTGCCCCTACCGAGCTGCTCGCTGGAGCGGAGTTCGCCGCCTCGCCGCTGACGAAAATGTGTTGAGTTGGGTCCTCGTTTTGTCAGAGGATCATGAAATATTGACATTGGTAGTTTTCAAGATTTTCAGGTTTTCCCATTCTTCTGCGCGGGCTCCAGGGACGAATGGTCGAGCGCATTCCGTCGCTCAGGTTTTTTGCATGATGTGCGCGGTGCGTTTTTCGCGCATCGGAGCGTCCTCGGAGATTCCAGGCTGCATTATGGATTTCCTCTCGGGGAGTCCGTGAGTCGGAGGTGCCGTGGCGCGATTTTCAAGGTAACCCATTCGAGTGCTGTTCGCGGGCGCAGGGCGCGGCGCGCGTTGCGCCCCATCGCACGCGGCGCAGTGCGTGAATCAGCCGGCCGCGCCAGTCGGACCACCCAGAGTTTATTTATTGAATCGCTTCGCTCATTCCGCCGGCCCGTGATATGGCATCGCTGGTTTTTGTCTGTGTGTTCGTTGCCCATGTTGCGCTCTTGGGGGCGGGTGTCGTTCGGACGCGTTGCGTGGGGAGTTTTGATGGTGAAGCAGTTCCCTGGGGGTCGTCTCTCGATGGGGCGAAATAGAGTCGTCGTCAAGATGCTTCTTTGGGGGGCCTCTTGGGGTCTGTTGAGAGGCCGTTCGGGGGCGCCTGGGAGACATGTTTGAAGCCTTCTGGGGCTTCTTTTGGCCTCCTGGGAGTCTCCTGGGGCCTCTTGGCGACATCTTGGGGCCTCTTGGAGGCCTCTTGGGGCCTCTTTGGGACCTCCTGGGCGCCTTCTGGGACGGAGGGCTCCATTTTTGAGTTCTCGGTATCCCTCCTGAGTCCCTCTTGGGCCCGTCTTGGGGCCTCTTGGTCCGTCTTGGGCGGCACTTGGGCCGTCTTGAGGGCTCTCTTGGGTCGTTTCGGCGCCGTCTTGGGAGCTTCGTGGGCCGTCTTGGAGCGGTCTTGGGGGCCTCTTGGGCCGTCTTGGAGCGTCCGGAAGCCGAAAAAGCCAGAACACAAAAAACATAGAAAAAACCAATGAAAATCAACGATTTTGGCCTCTTGGGGCTCTCTTCGGAGGCCTCTTGGAAGGCTCTTGGGGCGTCTTGGAGGCCTCTTGGGCTGTCTTGGGGGCCTTTTGGGCCGTCTTGGGGTCATCTTCGGCGTCTTCGAGCGCTCTTTGGGCGTCTCGGGGGCCTCTTGGGCAGTCTTGGGGGCCTCTTGGGGCACTCTGAGCGCGCTCTGGGGAGCCTGAGAGGCCGCACCCAGAAGGAAAACCATCTCTGAGTAGACTTGGTCGGGCGGCGACCGGGCGTTGGTCGGGGTACTTTTCGCCGGGGGACCCCCAGGGGCCGCCCCGCGCGCGCGAACTAGAAATACTGTTAATACTGTTAACCAGTTACCGGAGATCGTAGCACGCCGCGCCAGTCGGACCACCCAGAATTTATTTCTGGATTGTAGCATGTTTCGAAAAACGCTTCTGGCTTTTTGACGCAACTGGTTCTGGAAAATATTAAACATGAGTCCGGAAATTTTGCAAACAACCAAAAATTTGGGGTGGAATGCGCCCGCCGCGCAGGACATCTGAAGAATTCTGAAATCTGGAATTTTTCAAATTGGATTCCGGAACTTTTCAAAATCGATTGCGATTTTTCCAAACATAGGCCAAACATCTGCAAAAACGTTCCCCGATGTTTCAAATCGACCCCCGGAGATATTTCCAGAATCGCGCGTGATTTGTTTTACCAGGTCTGTGGCAATCCGCCGAAGCGCGCAGTGCGCGGCGGCGGGCAGCAGGACGGCGCGCCACCGTCCACCCAGCGCTCGGCAACGAAAAGGGGGATCAGCAAGTGCCACATAGCCCCCATACGGGCGACTACTTCGATTGTGAATGGGTTACCGACCAGCGGCGCCAGGCAAAGTAGACAATATTCGACGCAAAGTGAACCCCGCGCAAAGGCTGTTAGAAATTTTGGACTCCCCTGAACGTATCAATAGCACGTTGTGTCAATAGATTCGTCTCGCCCTATTTTGGGTTGCGCCCGCATGCCTGGTCCACACCATTTCGCACCCCTCACACGCTCCGTGGCCTTATAGGGAGCTCCACCGAAGGCCCTTGTGGCTGCGTTCGCAAACCTGGTCCACACAATTTCGTTGCACCCCTCACACGCTTCGTGGCCCAATGGGCGGCTCCACACGAGGCCCCAGTGCCAGGGCCCGCACACCTGCTCCACACCATTCCAGCGGAACCATCACACGTTTCCTGGCACCATGGGGAACTCCACCTGAGGCCCTAGTGGCTGCGTCCGCGTGCCTTCTCCGCATTTGTTCGACGCACCCCTCACACGTTTCGTGGCCCCATAGGAGGTTCCACCGAACCCCCCAACTGCAGGAATCGCATGTGGGACCTCGCCAATTACGGCGCACCCCTTACAAGTTTCGTGGCCCCATAGTGGGTTCCACCGAAGACCTTTGCGGCATGCGCGACCGCGCCCAGTTCGGCGTCCCCCGCACACGTTTCGTGTCCCCATAGGGAGTTCCACCGAAAACCCCACTTGCAGCGCTCACATGCGTGACCGCGCCCAGTTTGGCACACTCCTCACTCGCTTCGTGACCCCATGGGGACCTCCACCGAAGGACCCGCGGCCTGCTGCCCCGAGGACTGCGCCGACACACGCGGAGATCATCCGTAACGAGTTACATCCAAACGGGACCCGCTACGGCTGACCACTGCGACCCCATCAGCAACGTCGTTCCATCTTTCCCACGCACGCCGTAGTCCTTTTGCTGGCCCCTTCCCTTAGTTTCCACCCGTCTTGGGGCATTCGCACCTGCACTCGGCTGGGCCCCTCGCCAGGACATTTTTCTGTCATTCGAACACTGCTTGGTTCTAAGAACATGTCGTGGTAGGCCTATAGGAATGGCAGGACGGTCCCCAGTCGGTTTCGCTGATCGACGCGGGGTTCGCCAGATACCTTCGGACGTCGATTAGCGACCCTGCCAGGGTGCGCTCGGACTGTGGTGTCGTGCGCACGTGGAGTGTCCTTGGCAGCTTCCTCTGAAGGGCGTTCTGCTGAAAGGGCTTCTCCTCCTCCTCCTCCTCCCCCTCCTCATTCCCCGCCCCCTCCTCCTCCTTCTCCTCCTCCTCCTCCTCCTCCCCCTCCTCCTCCAGCCATCGGATTCCCCCGAAAGGAAGCATCGCCGGCACCGTGGGGTGCGCCTCGGGCCACTTCCGGGCGCAGCGCCGCGGGGCGATGGACGAGCGGAGCACGGGGAGCAAACGATGGCACGGGCAGAACGAGTCCGAGGTCCGCACGCATTCCTCGCGACGGCCATGGGCGCGACCCGCCCGGGCGAGAGGCGGCCACACGCGCGGCCGCGTGCGTTGTTCCAGCGCTCGCCAGCTGTGTGGGCCGTGCGCATCCCGCGCGCGGCCTCCAGGCGTTCCACCTGTGAATCCCGCCGCGTGCGGCTCCGGACTCCTCTGCCCAGCCGCCGACGCCCAAGAACCTGGCATCGCTCGGACGTGTGCATTTTTCCTTCGGCGAGGACCATCGATGAGCATCCTTGATCATTTGGCGAAAGAACCACGCACGAAACCGAAAATTACTCCGACGGAAGGACCCCACATGAGAATCTCTTTAGCTTGCCTGGGGGTATCCTCCTGCCCCTTCCCTTCTCCCACCTACTCTTGCCTCCTCGTTCTCCTCCTGTCTGCTCCTCCTCCTGCCTCAACCCCTGCCTCTTCCTCCTCTTCTTGCCTCCTCCACCTCCTCCCCCTCCCCCTCGTTATGCTTCCTCCCCCCATTCCCCCTGCCCCTCCTGCCTCCTGCCTCCTCCTCCTGCTCTCCCTCTCCCTTCTCCTCCTCCTCCTCCTCCTCCTCCTCCTCCTCCTCCTGTCCTCCTCCTCTCCCTCCTCCTCTCATCCGCTCACTCCTCCTCCTCCTCCTCTCCTCCTCCTCCTCCTCTCTCCTTCCGCCTCCTCCTCCTCCTCCTCCTCGTTTCCATATTCCTCCCCCCTCCTCCCCCCCCCTCCTCCTCCTCCTCCTCCTCCTGCCTCCTCCTTAGGCCTCCTGCCCCCTCCTGGGGCCTCCTGGGGCCTCTTGGGGCCTCCTGGAGCCTTCTGGGCCTTCCGGGACCTACTGGGGCCTCCTCGGGCATTCCTCCTCCTCCTTTTCCTCCTCGTCCTTCCTCCCCTCAGCCTCTTCCTCTTCCTGCTTTCCTGTCTCGTCCTGCATCATCCCTCCTCCTTTTCCTGGCAATCCTCCTCCTCCTCGTCCTCGTGCGGAACACGACCCAGAGGAAGCGCACGACGTGCGTCCCAGCCGATACGCGCCGGAGGACGACCCAGAGGAAGCGCGCGCGGGAAGATGACCCGGAGGAACCACGTGAGCTGCGGGACCCATAGGAGGGCTCCCGCCTGACGCGTCCTCACAATTCACTCACAGACGAGGGTCCCGCTTGATACTTCTTCCAAATTCAGACCTGAGGAGCCCAAAAGTGACGACAGCTACAGGAATCCGATGACCCGCTCGGATTACTAACATGATCTGCGGGCCCCATAGGGAGGGGGCTCCCGCCTGAGACTTCCTCGCTATTCACTCACAGACGAGGCTCCCGCCTGATACTTCCTCCAAATTCAGACCTGAGGAGCCCAAAAATGACGACAGTTACAAGGAATCCGATGACCCGCTCGGATTAATAACATGATCTGCGGGCCCCATAGGGAGGGGGCTCCCGCTTGAGACTTCCTCACAATTCACTCACAGACGAGGTTCCCGTTTGATACTTCCTCCTAATTCAGACCTGAGGAGCCCAAAAGTGACGACAGTTACAGGAATCCGATGACCCGCTCGATTAGTAACATGATCTGCGGGCCCCATAGGGAGGGGGTTCCCGCCTGAGATTCCTTACAATTCACTCACAGACGAGGCTCCCGCTTGATACTTCCTCCAAATTCAGACTTGAGAAACCAAAAGTGACGACAATTACAGGAATCCAACGACCCGCTCGGATTAATCACATGATCTGCGGGCCCCATAGGGAGGGGGTTCCCGCCTGAGACTTGCTCGCAATTCACTCACAGACGAGGCTCCCGCTTGATACTTCCTCCAAATTCAGACCTGAGGAGCCCAAAAGTGACGACAGTTACAGGAATCCGATGACCCGCTCGGATTAGTAACATGATCTGCGGGCCCCATAGGGAGGGGGCTCCCGCCTGACGCGTCCTCACAATTCACTCACAGACGAGGTTCCCGCTTGATACTTCCTCCAAATTCAGACCTGAGGAGCCCAAAAGTGACGACAGTTACAGGAATCCGATGACCCGCTCGGATTAGTAACATGATCTGCGGGCCCCATAGGGAGGGGGCTCCCGCCTGAGACTTCCTCGCAATTCACTCACAGACGAGGCTCCCGCTTGATACTTCCTCCAAATTCAGACCTGAGGAGCCCAAAAGTGACGACAGCTACAGGAATCCGATGACCCGCTCGGATTAGTAACATGATCTGCGGGCCCCATAGGGAGGGGGCTCCCGCCTGAGACTTCCTCGCAAGTCACTCACAGACGAGGCTCCCGCTTGATACTTCCTCCAAATTCAGACCTGAGGAGCCCAAAAGTGACGACAGTTACAGGAATCCGATGACCCGCTCGGATTACTAACATGATCTGCGGGCCCCATAGGGAGGGGGCTCCCGCCTAAGACTTCCTTACAATTCACTCACAGACGAGGCTCCCTCTTGGTGGATGATGGTGATGGGATGATGACGACGGTGTTTGATGAAGATAGATGATTGATGATGATGATGATGATGATGATGATGATGATGATGATGATGATGATGATGATGATGATGATGATGATGATGATGATGATGATGATGATGATGATGATGACGATGATGATGATGATGATGATGATGATGCTGATGGCGGTGGTGATGATGACGACGTGATGATGATGATGGTGGTGATGATGAGTGCAGATGGTGAGTGATCGTGCGATTATGATGGTAAGTGGTGGTGATGATGATGGGGACGAAGTGATGAGTCAGCGAGTAGTGATGATGATGGTGATGATGATGATCGTTCGATGCCGATGATGGTGAGTGATCGTGCGATGATGATGGTGATGCTGATGGTGCTGATGATGATGATGAGTGGGGAGTGATGGTGATGGTGATGATGATGCGGAGGAGGAAGCAAAGAGGAGCAGAGGAGAGGGAGGAGGACGAGAGATCCTGCGCGGAGGGTGTGCAGAGAAAACAAGAACCCCACTTAGGATGTGGGGAAAAAACACAGGGAATGGACGTCCGAGCGATGCCAGGAGAAGTGTGTCCAGATTCCTGGTAAACTGTTGGAGGTCCTCGCGGGTTCCTCGGATCGGCGCTGGACCCCCCTCCTTGGCGCGCGGAGCGCGCCAGGGGCGGCGCTGGAGGCGCCGCCAGGGGCGGCAGGGGCGGCGCTGGAGCTCCCTGGCGGCGCCTCCAGCGCCGCCCCTGGCGCGCTCCGCGCGCCGGGGAGGGGGCTTCAGCGCCGATCCGAGGAATCCGCGAGGACCTCCAACAGCTTCGCTTGTTTCATCGTCTGTCCCTCTAGGAACAGGTCTGTGATCGTCGTCTTCGAGGACGACGTGTGCCCAGAGCGCGATTTCGTGCTGAAGCTTTGGAACGTGGTCACGGGCGAGCTGCCCTGCGACTGGCAGGTAGTTTCGCTCAGCTCCCGCTGCCCGTTCGGGCGCTGCATCTCCCCGCACCTGACGCGCGTGCAGCCAGACGTGAACGAGCCAGAGTGGCGGTGCCGCCACGGCGTCAACTACGGATTCCAGGGCGTGATATCAACTGGTCTTCGGCCTATTCCGCCCCCGCGCCTGCGTTGTAGGTCAGAGACCCCTGCATGCTTGTGGGGAACTCTTGGGATGCCTCTCGGAAGTCTCTTGGATGCGGTTTTGGTGGTGTTTAGGGGCTTCTAGGGGCCCCTTAGAATCCTACAAACTAACATCAAGACGACAGCCCCTCTACGACTCGCAAATGTACGAGCCTTGGGGCACTCCACTGCTTGCCGAAATCACGGTGGCGGATACAAGGCCAGCGAGGTCCAGAACGTGCAGAAGCTGTGGCAGCCGGTCGTCTTCGACGCGGCACGGCCGCACTGCCTCGATCTCGACGTCGCGCTGGCGTCGATATCGAACAGGGTGCGCTTCTACGCGGCGCCCCTGGGTAACGTCAGGGGGAGGGACTCGCACTGGCCGAGGCTCGGCGGCGAGCGAGGGGGCTGAGCGAGAAGGAGAGGGCCTTCTAAGAAGGCGGCGGGGCTTCTCAGAAGCCCTCGCGCCTTCTCAGAAGGTCTCCAGTGTCTTCTGGGATGGCTCAGCAGACGTCCCAGAAGGCCCAGGGATTCCCGAGCCTTCTGAGAATCAGAGCGTGAATGACCTACCCCGCTTTCGCTTCCAGGCAAAACCAAGTCATACCACGCGCCTCCTCGTCAAGCGGCCTGACCAGTACATGCCGTAGCTTGGCATCGCTTGGTATCTCTTGGAAGCGAGGGTGGTCAAAAGCGAGGTCGGTTTGTTTTCCCCTTACAGAAGGCCTGCCCCTTCTCACTTCCCCCCCGGGGCTCGCCGCCGAAACGACAGGGGAGGGCGCAGGACTGGCCCAGGGGGGGGAGGGAGGCATCGACCCCAATCGCCTACTTCAGCGCCGATCGGGCCTTCCGACCTCCACCCCGCTCTATAGAGCATTCGGCCTCGCTGTCGAGGGCGCATCGCCGGTCTCCATCGGCCAATGTCAAATGCCAGCGGCGCACCAGGGAGGGGAAGTGAGAGGGGGCAGGCCTTCGCAGACAGCGGCGAGGCTTCTCAGGAGCCCCTTATCTGCCTTCTGAGAAGCCGTCCCTGTCTTCGGAGAAAGCCTCAAAGGCGTCTCAGAAGGCCGCAGGCCTTCCGAGCCTTCTGAGACGGCCCACCCCGGCTGCCTTCCCCGCATGGGCGCGCCGCCGACAATGAACCCCCCCCCACCTGAGCCTGTCCTCCCCCTCCCTATAGTCAACCCGCACAGTAAGGATGGGCACCATTCCCAAGCGTCCTCGCCTCCTCGGCCCATCCTTGGCCACTTTAGCTGTCCGCGCCCCGCTCGAAAAGCTCCGAGGTGGCCTTCCGAGACCCCTGCATCCTTATCCTGCAAAAAAAAAAAAACCGTACTCCACGGGTTGCCTGCACCATTCCCCCCTCAGATACCCGCGTCCCACAGCCCGGGGTTCCTGCGCGAGCTGCCGCAGGGCTCGGCCCGGGTGGACGTGAACATCCAGGCCCAGGGCGGCGCCGCGGCACCGGCGGAGGCCCCCGCCGGGAGCGTGACGCTGTGGTGCTTCTTGTTGACGTTCCCGAGGCCGGAGAGAACAAACAACGGTGGACGACGCCAGCCGTGCACCAGACCAGCTTCTTACACGCTGCTGTACGTGCAAGCGCGCGCGGAGGCGTACATCGAACTGATCTGGTACAGGGTTGGCGTCGTCCAAGTACACGCGACTGCACCATAGATAGGGATGCGCGGCAAGGACGCAGAGACATCGGGCGCCCAAGTGAAAGTTTTCTGATCGAGTATGGCCAGAGATGGTGGCCAGCAATGGGCCGAATGTTCAAGTATGAAGTGGTGCCACTGAGAAGATGTTGCCGGCCCTCACAATTTCCACTCGGTGGGGAGGTGGGTTTGGAAGGCGTTCAGGCTCAAGCCGGTGCACTCCGAGGGGCTGCCCCGGGCGGGCCTCTAGGTGTCCGCGTGGTCCGGAGGCGCGTGGCGACCTCGCCTGGGACCGGCTGTGCGCCATCTGCTTGGCGGCGGCCTGCGCGGCGCGGCCTCCTGGCGGAGTGCAGGCTCTGCCGCGGGTTGCTGCGCGGGGCGGGCGGCCGAGGCGCGCCTCAGGGCGACGCGGCACCGAGGCGGGGCGGGCGGAGGCCCCGCTGGCAGCGCCCGCGGCGCCTCGGAGCCCAGAGGCGGTGGGCGAAGTCGGGCTTGTCCCTCGACAGGAGGAATCGTCAAAAGTAGTTTTTGGGATTTTTTCTACCAAACAAATGTACGGCGACAAATTGTTCACTAGTTGGTTGTATGTTTGCGCGTTGTTTGCGTGTCTTGGATTTGTCGTCCAAACTCCCCATGTAGGAGGACACGCCCGACTTCAGCGTTGGGCCTGCTCGCTGCCCGCGCGAAGTGCTGGCGGGCGCGCTGGCCGCCCCAGTGACGGACATGGAGCGGGCTTTGGCCATCGAGCAGCCCTCGATTTGGGGCTTAAGTCGGGAATGTCTTCCTACAGGGGAATGTTGGACGAAACGTCAATACATACATACATATATATATACATATATATACAAGCATATACAAATATACATACATGCATGCATGCATACATACATATTAACATACACACATGTACACATACATACTGTCATCCGTACATACATACATGCATACACACATACGTACGTACGTGCATGCATGCATGCATGCATATATAGACAAACATCATACATACATGCATACGGATACATAATCATGAACGTGTGCATATACATATGCATATATATATATAAATACAAACATACCAATATGCATACATACAAGTTTACATACATACAAGCACGCATACATACAAACAAACAGAAGAACATAAATACATACAATCGAGTACACACACATCAAATCTTACATATAAACATATACACATACGTGTATGTTCACAGATTGGCATGCAAACATGTATACATACAGACATGCATGCATGCATACATACAGACAGACATACTAGAATCAAAAATGTCCCCTGACTATTTCTGGTATTTCTGAATATTCCGCCTGTAGAGGGACAAGCCCGACTTAATTCTGGGGCATGACGACGGTCACCTCTACCACGCTCTGCAGCGCCGCCTGCGAGGCGATGCCGTGCGGGTGGTGTGCAGGCCGAGCGAGGACGCCGAGAACGCGAACTTCGCGGCGAAGGAGCTCGTGGCGCTGGCGCCGGGAAGCGGGGCCGGCGGCCCCCCAGGCCAACGACTGCATTGTGTGTGCGATCGCTTGTTGGCCGGCGCGTCAGTCAGGCGCGCATGGGGAGAGCGCGGTGGCCCCAGGAGCACAGTCTGCACAAGCAGGCAATGGGGCTCGCGGCGGGGCACGACGGGCTCAACGCCAGCGACTGCGCGCACATGGATCTGGCGGCGAGGCGGGTAATCATGATCGAGCGGGTATGCGCGTCAACCACAAGGCGCCGAGCTTCGAGGCGCCTGCGCAAGCCGAGACGGCGGCGTGGGCCCTTGAGCAGAACAGGCCGCTGCGCAAGGAGCTCGAGCCAAAGAAGACAAATAGTTATAATAATGAAATAAGATTAAGTAGAAGAAGAAGAAGAAGAAGAAGGATCAGAAGAAGGGCAACAACGATAACAACGAGGGGAGCAAGGACGGCATCCACCCCGCCAGCACGTGGCCCCAGCATCCAGCGGCTCGCTATATCACGGGCGCGCTGCCGTTCCCCGTCCGTTGGGCGGCGACGGAGCTTGGGCTGCTTCGACAGCCGACCTCGAGACGGGCGGCACGCCTGGCGCCTCAGTGATTTAGCTGTGGCGCTAAACGCCTTGTCTCGAGCGCACCCTCGGCAAAGTGTTCTTCTCGGTCTCCGAGGCAGCGATCTCAGTCTCAGCTCGCTCGGCTTGGCAGCGTTGAACATCGCCGCGAGCAGCGGGAGTCGGAGGCGATGGCGCTATCCGACCTTGTCCACCCCAGTGATTTGCGCCCCCTGACTGGCGGTGCCGCGCCAGGCGCAGGCGACAGTTTTCGAGTTCGGGCTGCGCGAGGCGATCGTCGCCCAAAGGAAGTCGGCGGCATCGCATCGGCCCAGGCGGCGGAGCTCATCCGCGACCTTGCTACCCACGTCTTGAAGACGGACGCCGAGCTGGCGGCTGACATCGACAGGGAACCGCTGCGCGGCAAGACGCATTGGGGCCTGGTGCACACGGGATCTCGACGCAACATGATCGAGCTTTCGAGAGCGATGCACGCCGGCGACCTCCTGACCTGGCGGCGGCGGGCGCGCCCACGAGCGGGGTGCTTCTTCGTCGAGGGTGAGACGGGGATGCCGCGGCTGGCGGTCGACGCCCGCCCAACCGCACGCGCTGGCGGCTTCTGTCTCGGCGACCCCAGTGGAGATCGACGCGACGTTCGGCTCGTCGACGCGTTCGACGAGCAGGAGGGCGGCCCCGTCCCAGTCTGTCCTGGCGAGCGCACGGAACACGCTTCGATAATATGGCAACGTGGGCGGGCTGGGCGCTGCACTCGCCACGCGCCACGCGCAACGCCAACGCGCCCCGTAGCCGCCCAAACTGCACTCGTCGGCGACCCGCAGTATCCAGCGACCCTGCATCCATGGGCGCTGGCGATGGCCTCGCACGTCGACAACGCCAACACACTTTTTCGGCCTGCGGGGCGAGAGCGTACCTCTTCCGGTTAAGAGCTAGGCGGACTACGCACAGCTCGAACGCCAACACACGCACACGGTCGCGGCCATCCTGGCCGCGCGGGGACTCGTGCTTCGCAATTGGGAGTTCGAGTTCCTGGACACGGTGCTCGACGGGTCGCGATATCGGCACTGGCATGCGGCAACGCGATCGCGGCGGCCATGGTCGAAACTTGGCCGTGCACTGCGCCTGGGCCAACGCTTTCGCGGCATGGTGCAGGTGCTCCTCGGCCATCCGCGCCACCTTCGGCACCGAACTTGTCGGCCTGAGTTGTTTGCTGCGCGTGGGCCGCTTCGCCTTCGACCGCGTCGGCGCGGCGGGGCCACTGCCTGCCGCGGTCTCGGATCGCCTTTGATGGCGGTCGGCGCCGATCTCTCCAGAGGCTTCCACCGTCCCGTCTTCTGCTCCGACCCGTCGGGGGACGGCCGCACCCTCCGCGAGCACCCGCGCGCTCGGTCGAAGTGGCGGCCACGGGTCGCTGGAAGGCTGCGAGGAGCGCGGGCGGTTCTGCGACGCACTTGCTGGCGCGATGGCGGGGTGGCCGACGACGCCCTCAGCGCGCCTGTCCGGAAGCGGGAGGGCCTCTGGGCCGCGCGGGCCGACGAGGCGGCCGGCCAGGCCGCGGGCGGCGACCGCGCTGGGGCGGCCGACTTGGGCAAGGCGGAGCGGCGGCAGCGGAGCGTCACATGCTGTCAGACGGGCCGCCCGAGCGCCCCTGCACTGCTCACGCACGCTGGGAGGTGGCGGCTCGTCTTGGCTGGAGCACGGGCCATCGCCAGCGTCGCGCGGCCCATGCACAGTCTGAAGCGACGCGCGCCAACGATGTGGCTCTGGCGCGCAGCAGCGACGCCGTCGGCCGAGACGTCGGCCGCCGTCTCGCACGGGGACAACGAACGCGCCGCGTCGCCAGGCTCGCGGCCGGCAGCGCGCAGCCAGCGTCGACTGGGCGGCGGCGGCGCGTCGAGTCGGCCCAGCGCACGCCCGACTACGACTCGGGCCAAGCCAATCGAGGCGAGCTGCACCCATGCGGAACGTTCGCGCCAAGCCCAGCGTCCAGGGCTGGGGGCGGCAGCGCTGGCCTCAGCAGCTGCCTCGGCGGCCGCCTCGGGATCTGGCACGGCCCCATGCGGGTCCAATTCGGGCGCGGCGGCAGAGGCGGGCGGGGCTGCCACGGCGCCTGCGCGAACCGCGCTGCCTGGGCGCTTCACATTAGAGATTTTCGCCGGCGACGGGTACCTCAGCGGCTGGGTCCGCCAGATAGGCCTCGATCTCTGAGTTGTCTTTGAGAAGGAAAGCGCCCTGCGCTTGGACCTCTTGTGCACCAATGTGATCTGATTAATTAACCAACAGATATCCCCGCGTCTGGCGGGTGCACTTCGGACACCTTGCACATGTATTTCAAGGGCCCTCACTGCCGGCTCGGCACAAGCGGGCACGCCTTTCCTGGGACGTACGTTTTGGTTTCCGTTGGTCTCTGGCAGGCAACCAAGCGGGCCTCGCAGAAGCACGTCGTGTACATCAATTTCGAGAACCTCGACACTTGGGCGCACTTCGATTGGGACCCCAGCGTTGCAGGGGTGCGCGATGTTGGGTTGAACCAAACAATGCATGGAATCATGACCTCATGGCCTACGTCTGGGACTCTTTGGATGCCAAATTTGTTACCTTCGACATGTGCTGCGGCGGGGACCCGTGCCAGAAAAAAACGCGCACTGCATGCACCCTAGGTCGTCTTGGAAAACGACTGGTCACAGGGTGCTACTGCAAGAGGCATCGCACCATCCTACAGGGTACGGTGGCAATCCGTTCACATGGAAGGCGTCGCAACGATTGGCTCCCGGATCTCACGGGCGCGCACATGCCAGTCGCTGAAGGCAGGTACTTCTGGATCCCCAGATCACAATATATTTCGGCCGCCTTCTTACTTCAAGACTCGAGCGGTTTTCCCTCCTCCCTCCTCTTCAGGGGGTGGGCGGAAGCCCAACGTGCTTCTACCCGCTCCTTCCGACCGATGGGCATCCTCCAGCGCTGTTCTCAGCCATCGCACAGCGCGCTCGCCTCTCGGCCCCCGCCCAGGCCCGGCAGCCCCACGGCGCCCCGGCATGGCGCTGGACAGCCGAGGAGGCCGCTGCCCGGAGCGCGGCGGCAGCTCACGAGGCTGCATCTGCCTCAGCGCCCGCCCCGCGAGGTGAGCTGCGCCAGGGCCAGGCCGCGCCCGCCCCCGAAGCGCGCCCGAAGCGGGCGGCAGCAGCGCCTCGGCCACGACAGCTGAGCCCGCAGCTTCGCGGCGCAGGCCGTCGGCTGCACAGCCGGCGCGCAGGCCAGCCGCGGCGGCGCCCGCCGGCGAGGCTCCGGCGTCGGCAAAGGAGGCGCCCAAGCGCCCAGCATGGAGGCCCGCGGCCGCGCAGCCCGACGGGGCGACGGCCACGCGGGCTGGGCGGCACGCCGAGGCGGCGACGGCACCCACGACGGCCTTTAGCGATCTGAGCCTGGTCGAGGCACAGTCAGCCTGGGCAGCGAAGCGCCAGGTCCACGCATAGTCGTTCCCACCAGGCCTTCGAGATTCACAGCCCCAGCAAGGGGGCGCAGCGCAAGGACATGAGTGACGCCGACGAGATCGACGCTCTGGCAGCGGAGTACCTCGACGACGAGGTCCACCTCGAGGGTCTGGACGCGGCGCGCAACCTCCCGTGTGCCATCCTGTTTGCGAGGTCATTGCCGAAGGGAAGTCCCCCCAGGTCCCGCCGAGCGGTGAAAGATCCCCTGCGGGACGACCCTCCGCAGTCTGAGGACCCCTGCCCGCACGAGGCGGCCGCCATCCTCGCTTACGGCCTTCACATGAAGCCAGTGCTGAACTTGGTGCTGGAGGGGCCGGACTGTCTGGCGCAGTTCCACCTCTCGCTGCATCCTTCCAAGGCGCTCCACATCGAGAATGAGGACATCGTCCTGTCCAGCGCCTCCAGCTACGAGGAGACCCGCGCGATCGTGGCGCCTCAGGCCCCGCGCGGCTCGGGCAAGGCGGAGAAGGCCCCAGCTCGCCTGGCGAAGTCCGGGGAATTCGACGACACCGTCATCGCCAGGCTCGACGTGCTGCATCAAATCGGCCCGATCGGCAACCAGAACGTGGCTCGTGGTGTTCCGCTGTCAGAAGCCAAGAAAGCGCGTCGGCATCCGGCTTGCGTGGTGGCCAACAGCCTTTATCATTTGCGTCGGGGGCGTCCCGCCCCACCCACCCTAACACAACACGGCTTACATGTCTGGCCGTGCGACAGGAGATTCAGTTGATTCATTTGGTGGTTTGACATCACGGCTTTGAATGTTGGATTTCGTGCTGCGCATGGCGCGTCATTCGGCGCAGCCTCTGAAACACGGTGTTGGAAAAGTGTGAGTTGTCACTTCCTTGTCTCCTCTCCTCTCTTCCTTGGCCCCCTGGGGCTCGTTATCCTCGGGGCCCAGGACTCCTGGTAGGGCCTTTGGCTCTCTCTCTCTCTCTCTCTCTTTCTCTCTCTTTCTCTCTTTCTGCGCTTTCTCATCCACCTCTCCGCTCGAAACTATGTCCCCGCGGCTGCACGCCACTCCGACGAGCCCGCAATGGCCCCGTAAGTTTTCGTGAATGACTTCTCTTCATGATCTTGTATGACTGTAAGTAAGCATACACGTTCGGAAGTCCAGACGCTGGACCACCCCTGGCGGCGCTTCTGGCGCCAGGGAGAGGGGGCCCAGCGCAAGTCCTAGAAAAGTCCGAGTCCGCGCAGGCCCCTCCGAAAGTGGTTATGCTTGTGCCGTTCTTTCCTCCCTTCCTACCAGGGGAGATGAGCTGGAGCTTGTGAAGGCCCAGCTTCTCAAGGGCATGGGCATTTTCGCCTGTGATGGGCACGCCGCCTTCAGCAGCAAGAAGGTGATGCTCGGCCCTGGCGTCTTCACCACGGCGGTGCCGGGCGACATGAGCGTCAAGATGGGAGGGCCCTACAACATAGCCCTGAACACCGAGGTCCTCCTGCGCGTGTGGCGCAAAGTGTGGGACATGGACGCCTTCTCGTCCTTCGACTGGGTGGTCAAGGTCGACGCGGACAGCGTCTTCTTCCCGTCGCGCCTGCGGAGCCACGCGAGCATCACGCCCGGCGGCCCCCTCTTCCTCAACAACTGTGGCGCTGGCCTCCACGGGCCCATCGAGGCGATGACGCGGGAGGCCGTATGGCTGTTCCGCGACGGCAACGAGCGGTGCCAGGAGGAGCAGGTCACCGACTGGACGACGCAGGCCGCAGGAGAGCAAGCGGCGTGAGCATGATCAGCAGAGGAGGGAAAGGCATCCGTACCGCTACCCTTTTCCCTCCTTTTCCCCTTTTTGGGGCCTCCTGAGCGGCCCTCGTCGCCACTGCTGGATTCGCCTCGAGATCCTGGTCAGAGCGCACCCCAGGAGAAGTCCGGGGAGTAGCTGCATCGGCACCTTTTGGTTTCCCGAGATCAGGCCTTCGGAGGCCCGCGCGGATTCCTCGGGTCGGCGTTGACCCCCCCCCCCCCCGGGCGCGCGGAGCGCGCCAGGGGCGGCGCCGGTGGGGGTGCCGCCAGAGCGCACAGCCTCGGAAAGTCAGATCATGTTTGCGTGGCGCGGGGAGAGAGTTCGGATGGCGGGGGAAGGGGGCGCAGCTCGGAAAATATGCTGGGACGGCGCTCGAGACGAGTCCTCCTCCTCCTCCTCCTCCTCCTCCTCCTCCTCCTCCTCCTCCTCCTCCTCCTCCTCCTCCTCCTCCTCCTCCTCCTCCTCCTCCTCCTCCTCCTCCTCCTCCTCCTCCTCCTCCTCGAGACGAGACGAGCTGGGAGCAGGGAGGAGGAGAAACCTCTGGCGTTGTGGTTGTCTCCAGTGTTTGCGTGCCAGTGCCAGTGCCGGCGCGGGCGCGCCCAGCTCGCCTCGCCGCACCGCTCCCCCGCCCCCTCCTCCCAGCCTCCCCCCCCCCTTCTGCCAGGCAGCCCCATCCCTCTCCCCCTCCCCCAACCTCCTTCCTCCTCCTTCCTCCTCTTTCCTCCCTCCTCCCCCTCCTCCTTCCTCCTCTTTCCTCCTCTTTCCTCCTCCTTCCGCCTCGTTCCTCTCCTTCTTCCTCTTTCCTCCTCCTCCTCCTCCTCCTCCTCCTCTCCTCCTCCTCCTCCTTCCCCTCTTTCCTCCTCCTCTTTCCTCCTTCTCCTCCTCCTCCTCCTCCTCCTCCTCCTTCCTCCTCCTCCCTCCTCCTCATCCTCCTCCTCCTTTCATCATCACCATCATCATCAGCAGCAGCATCATGGTATTGTCTTCGTCCTCCTCCCTCCCCCATCCTCCTCCTCCTCCTCCTCCTCCCTCCTCCTCCTCCTCCTCCCTCCTCCTCCTCCTCCTCCTCCTCCTCCTCCTCCTCCGCCTCCGCCTCCTCCTCCCCTCCTCCTCCTCCTCCTCCTCCTCCTCCTCCTCCTCCTCCTCCTCCTCCTCCTCCCGGCAGGGGGAGGACGACTACGTGATGGGTTGCTTGCAGCTGCTCGGCGCACAGCAGTACAACGACTTCGGGGTCCTCAGCGAGGTGGCGTGCGGGGAGGACCCCAGCGCCACCGCCGCGTGGCCGCGCCCCGTGGGGCCACTGGGCGTCCTCGGGAGCAGCCGACCTCGGGGGCGTCCGAGAGTCACCGGGCGCGTTCAACTACTCGATAAGTGCCTATCGCAAACGTCCGAATAAAAACGCGCTTTCCTCTTATGTGATGTATCGTAAATACCCCGCGGCGGATCCAGGCCATTTGCGAGGATTTACTTCTGCGAGTAGTGGAACGCGCTTGTCCAGAGAGGGGGGCAGGGACCTGTCGAGGAACCGCGCACACGGGGTAATGAAGGCGCGTGGAGTAGCGACGGGCCTCGCTTCCGTGCAGAGTCCGCCCGCTCCGTCGCCAAATCAGGCGGCAGTGCCTCATGATTCGAGGAGGGGGGCTTTCCCGATCCGTGGATCTGGCGCCCACGCGCGAGATCTAAGGATCCGTAAATCCATGGAAGCGTGTGCCCGTGACATGTGCCGCATGTCATGCCACTTCTCTTCTCTCAAGACTTCCCTTGGCCCCTTTCCTCATCCGCGGGCATGCATCAGGCATTGGAGCGCTAACCACCCCCTCCCTTCCTGCCCCCCCTCTTCGTCGGACCCTGGAAGCGGTTCCACCCACCCGGGGCGGACAGGCTACCAGAGTCGGCCGAGCAGACAGGTTCGGAGGGTCGGGCCGCATCGCCACTCCGTCCGCTCCACGCCCGCCGACTGCGCCGATGCTTCGTCGATGCATCGGCAATGCAGCGCGATCCTCCTCCTCCTCCTCCTCCTCCTCCTCCTCCTCCTCCTCCTCCTCCTCCTCCTCCTCCTCCTCTTCCTCATCATCACCATCAGCAGCAGCATCATCGTTATTGTCCTCATCCTCCTCCTCCTCCCCCTCCTCATCATCATCATCCTTGTCATCATCATAAGCATCATCCGCATCAGCACCAGCCTCAGCATCATCATTAGCATAATCATCAGCAGCAGCACCATCATCCTCCTCATCATCATAATCATCATCATCAGCAGCATCATCAGCATCACCATCCTCATCATAATCCCATCAGCATCAATCATCACCATCAGCATCATCCCTCCCCCCTCATCCCTCATCCCTCCTCTCTCCTCCCTCCTCCCTCATCCCTTCTCTCCCTCCTGTCCCTCTTCCTCCATCTGAATTCCTATCATCTATAACTCCCTCTTGCCCCACTCGCAGAAGCGTGGGTAAGGCGGGCTGGGAATGTCGCTTAAGATGCCCTCCCAGAAGTATGATCCTGAAGTTTGAAATGTACAACTGGTTCACGGATGGAGTACGGGTCGTTCTCAAAGTGTGGTTATCTTCTTAGTGTCGCACACACTTGTCGCGTCAGCTTGCAATAGGGTCACGGATGCAGAGCGGGTCATTCCCAAGATGTGGCTATCGCCCTTACGCCCTGACGCCCGCAACAGCTTCAAGGATAGAGGATGGTTTCTTTTCAAGACGTGTCTCTCGCCTCAGCGCCGCGTACCTTCGTTTGAAAGTTTACAACATTTTCAAGGAGTCGTACCGTTGATGTCCCAGGAAAGGTGTTCTGACACGGTGAAGGAGCGTCAGGACGCAAGAGTATTCGTGGATCGCGGTGTTGAAGTCCTAGGAAAGGTGTCCTGGTACAACTTAGGGTTGTTAGGACGCAACAGTCACGTTGATTCGCGGCATTGAAGCCCCAGGAAAGGAATTGTGGCACGATTGGGGATCCGACGGTTGTCTGTTAATGGGGCACTTCCCGCAGTGAAACACATTCCTGCAGGGAACTATGACGAGAGAATTTGGAGCGAGGGTTTATTGCAACATCGTTGATGCGTAGTGGGTTGACGCTGGTTCTCCTCCTCATCATCAGCATCATCACCATCATCATCACCATCATCATCATCATCATCATCATCATCATCATCATCATCATCATCAATACCGCCACCACCACCACCATAATCATCATCAGCAGCAGCATCATCACCTCTATCATCGCCATCATCATCAGCAGCATCACCATCCTCATCGCCATCATCATTTCCATCGTCATAGTCAACATCGTCGTCATCATGATGATCATCCTCATCACCATAATCAGCAATCATCAGCAGCAGTAGCATCATGACTTCCATCATGACTTCCATCATGACTTGCATCATCACCATCATCATCACCACCATCATCGTCATCAACATACTCATCGTCATCATCATCAGCAGCAGCATCGTCGTCCTAATCACCAGTATCATCATCATGATCAGAGTGAGGGGACCGAACGATCATTCATTGTCCCTGCGTGCGTGGCTGAATAAGGAACTCGTGGTGAGAATTCTGCTTGATGCATTGTTGTTGTTGGTGTTGTTGCTGTTGCTGTCGCTGTTGCTGTTGTTTGTGTTGGTGTTGTTTGGTGTTGTTGTTGTTTGTTGCTGTTGTTGTTGTTGTCGTCGTCCCACCCGCGACCCACCCGCGACCCACCCCGCGACCCACCCGCGACCCACCCTGCGACCCACCCGCGACCCACCCGCGACCCACCCGTTACCCACCCTGCGACCCATCCGCGACGCATCCGCGACCCACCCGCAACCCACCCCGCGACCCACCCGCGACCCACCCTCATGGGAGGAAAAACCACACGGACCCGACAATTGATACTTACTAAACGGCCTTGGGCCTTGACTAAACAGCCCTGCCCTGCTCGATTCATCCTTGCGTGCGTTTACTAAACGGCTTCGCTTGTCGGGGTGATTATCATGGCGTGGCTTTTCTGCCCTCTACACCCGCGACCCAACAGCGACCCACCCGCGACCCAACAGCGACCCATCCGCGAACCATTTGCGACACACCCGCGACCTACTCACCTAGGTTGAACGAAAAAATCGGCGCTTTCGGCGGGCTCGTTGTATAATTTGTGAAACTTTGGCGCCTGCGGCGGGCTTCTCCAGAGTCTCGCAAACTGCCGACGCCCCCACCGCACCCTCACTCTTATCCGCATCTGCGGGGTGCTACATAATATTTATCCGCATCATTCGCATCGTCATCATCAACACCACCACCACCACCATCATCATCATCATCCTCATCATCATCATCATCATCATCATCATCATCATCATCATCATCATCATCATCATCATCATCATCCCTACCTCCCTCCCTCCCTCCCTCTCTCCCTCCCTCCCTCCTCACCCATCCTCCTCCCTCACCCCTGGGGCATGCTCGGCTGCTCCTGGGCCCCGCCGGCCCCCAGAGGCGGCGCACCGGCGGTGGCCCCAGCCCGTGCGTGTCAGGGAAGGTTGCGTTCCATCCGTTCAAGACCGTCGGGGCGTGGTTCCAGTGCGCCGCAGAGGCCGCCCCCCTTCGCGCCTGAGGGGGGGGGCCAGTCACAGCGCTAGCCAGCCAGCCGCGCTGCTCGCCGCCGGCCGAAGGTTCGGATCCGCCCCGTAGGCGCCTGGGTCGATTATCCTCAGGACATGTGTTAGCCGAGTGTGAGTGTGTGTGTGTGTTTCTTCGTTCGGCCCTCATTACATCGGCTGCGTCTCCTTGCATGGCTTCGATCGACAAACAAATCTTGACGCCAACACACGGTCTGAGGATCATCGACTGGGGAACGCTGGCCTGGCCTGTGGAGTCGCCGCCGGCAAAACATGGCTGGCGTGCGGCGGTCGTCAGCGCGGTCGGATTTGTCGTGGCAAGCTGCTTCCTCCCCCCGCCCGACCGCTTGCCGAGGCGTTCCTGGGCTGCTCCTCCGGAGGAGGAGAGGAGGAGGAGGAGGAGGGGAAGAGAGAGGAGGAGGAGGAGGAGGAGGAGGAGGAGGAGGAGGAGGAGGAAGAGGAGGAGGAGGACAACGAGGAGGACGAGGAGGACAACGAGGAGGAGGACAACGAGGAGAAGGACAACGAGGAGGAGGACAACGAGGAGGGAGGAGGAGGAGGAGGAGGAGGAGGAGGAGGAGGAGGAGGAGGGGGAGGAGGAGGAGGAGGAGGAGGAGAGAGGAGGAGGAGGAGGGGGAGGAGGAGGGGGAGGAGGGGAGGAGGGCGAGCGCGGGCGCAGGGCCCGCACTGCGCTCGCGCCCGCACGAGCGGCCCGGCGGCGCCCCCTTGCGGTGCCTAAAGGGCCCGCAGGGGCAGGGCGAGGGCCGCTGCCCATCCCTCCCCCTCCTCCTCCTCCTCCCCTCCTCCTCTTCCTCCCTCCTCCTCTCCTCCTCCTCCCCCTCCTCCCTCCTCCTTCCTCCTCCTCCTCCTCCCTCCTCCTCCTCCTCCTCCTCCTGCCCCAGCGCGGGCTGCTCGAGCTCGGGCGGCGGCCGCAGTGCCCGCGGCTCGACTGTCGGTGGCGAGCCCAGGGGGGAAGCTCTAGGCCTCCTAGTTGGGGTCTAGAGCTAGGGGCCTAGGCCCCTAGCTCTAGACCCCAACTAGGAGGCCTAGAGCTAGGGGAACAAAGAGTGGCATAAACATAAAACCTCGGAGGTCCGCGCGGATTTCTCGGATCGGCGCCGGGGCCCCCCGGCGGCACCTCCGGCGCCGCCCCTGGCGCGCTCCGCGCGCCAGGGAGGGGGGTCCAGCGCCGATCCGGGAAATCCGCGCGGACCTCCGAGTTGTTATGTTTATAACACTTTTTGTTCCCCTAGTTCTAGGCCTCCTAGTTGGGGTGGAAAGGAAGCAGATGGGGTCGGACGATCGCCCCGCGTCGACGATGCATCGACGATGCGCCTCGATGTGGATCCAGAGTCTTTCCACGCCAGCGTCGCCGATGCCCCGCCGGCATCGGCGATGCGGTGCAATCCTCCAGGCCCATCTCCTCGCACATCATCGAGGAAGCCCTTAGAAGCTCGGAAGGTTTGGGTCCGAGGTTCGAGGTTTTCAGGCATCTTTGCGGGTTCTCCGCGGCCTTCGGTTTTGGGGTGCGTTCTCCAGAGGATGCGCCTCGCCAGAGGAGCGGTTTCGGGCGGTGCCCAGAGCGCCCCGCACGGCTGCCGGAGGCCCGAGTCATAGCTGTTCTCGGGCGTCGAGCCTTGGGAGATAAATGTCGAGGATTTCCAGGAGGCCCCAGATCTCCCAAAGGATTTCCCCAGATAAATGTCGATCCAAGGATTTCCCAAAGTACCCCCAGGATTTCCAAGGAGGCCCCCGAGGACTCCAGGGCACCCCTCACGAGGCCCAGAAGGCCCCAGGGGCCCCAAGATTGAGCGAAAAGCTGGGGGCACCTTGGGCCAGAGGCACATCTGGGCAGCCCCCGAAAATGGGGGCGTGAGGAAAGGTGCACCCCACGGGGTCCCCCCGGCGTCCAACAGGGGCACGAACGGTGCAGGTTTCTCCCCCCCCCACCCCACCCATTCATCCGGTAGAGGGAAACAATTAGTAAACACCCCCCCTGCCCCCCAAAACCAAAGTTGGCACACGCGGGGGAGACTGCGGTCGAGGTGCAACTCATCAGACCCACCGCCAATTTTTCGCATTGGGGGGAGGGGGAGGCGTTGACAGATGAAGGTGGCATGAGTGCTCGCTATTTTTTGTCCGAGGCCTGTCGCCCCCCGATCAATCAAAGCTCGGCTTTCAATACGCTGGCTGTCGGGGGTCTTGGCTGGCCCCCCTCGGATGTTTCGTCCCCCGCTCGTCCGCCCCCGCGGGCGGGCCGCGGTGGCCGCGGAGGGCCACCCCCCTCCTGCGGCGCGGCCAGCGGGCCTCCAGGCCGAGCTCGAGGATGGCGAGAGGGAAAAATGAGAGCAGGAGGAAGACGAGGAGGAGGAGGAGGAGGAGGAGGCGGAAGAGGAGGAGGAGGCGGAAGAGGAGGAGGAGCAGTAGGAGGCGGAGGAGGAGGAGGAAGAGAGGAGGAGGAGGAGGCGGAGGAGGCGGAGGAGGCGGAGGAGGAGGAGGCAGAGAGGAGGAGGAGGAGGAGGAGGAGGAGGAAGGAGGAGGAGGAGGGGGGGAGGAAGAGAGGAGGAAGAGAGGAGGAGGAGGAGGAGAGAGGAGGAGGAGGAGGAGGAGAGGAGGAGGAGGAGGAGGAGGGGGAGGAGGAGGAAGAGAGGAGAAGGAGGAGAAGGAGGTGGAGAAGGAGGAGGAGGATGAGGAGGAGTAAGAGGAGGAGGAAGAGGAGGAGAAGGAGGAGGAGGAGGAGGAGGAAGCGGAGGAGGAGGAGGAGGAGGAAGAAGGAGAGAGAATCAGAGAGAGAGAGAGAGAGCGAGAGAGAGCGAGAGCGAGAGGCAGCAGCAGAAGCAGAAACGGCCGGCGGCCAGCTCCTCGCGATGTTTAGGCTTCTGGTCAGGGGTAACGTTCGGGAGGGGGCAGGCTCAGGTTTGGCGGCGCGTCGACCCCGAATCGCCCAGGCGCGTTGACGCACACGAATGTCGCGGAGACACCAAGCCTGCCCAGTGGCTTTCCCAATATCCCTGATTCACGCAGTGACCCCGTCAGGAGCACTGCCTGGTCCGGCCGCATGAGCCACAGCCGACCGCATGGAGCAAGCGTTCCACTACATGATGAGCACCCAGAGCCTCATCGACCGCGACTACAGAATCTTCCCCGCGAGCTGGCCCCCCGCGACGCACGATTTGCAGGAGGGCGCGTTCCCGCCGCCATCCACCAAGTCGGGTGCGACAACGGCGTCGGAGGCGCAGCAAGGTTCCAGCCCACCCAATAAGACGCAGGGAGGGGAAGACGAATGGATCTTTGCAGCGGACGAGCTGGCGAGGGAAGGGTGATTCAGCCACTCCCCCTCACAGCAGTTACAGCATCCAGCTTGGTAAGTGGCTGAGGCGCTACAGGGCGATCCGCCCTCAATACCTTCCCGCATGGACATTTCTGATTGGAGTCTGGCTCGACAGCCTTTATGACTGAAGCCAGTCTCGATAATCGGTCGGACCTTACCGAATCTACCATTCTGCTCAGCGGCTCCGGCGGCTTTCTGCACCTGCCGGGGGTGGCCGCGTCATCTCCATCAGTTGCTTTGTCGGATTTGCGGCCGTGCGCTGAGTCCCTTTGGCGGTCGAGTCCGCGAGGGGGCTCACCTCGGCTGGGGGCGGAGGTGCAAGTCCCACGCCTACGACGATTGAGTCGACCAGGTCGGCGGCGCGGCTTGGAGCGCCGATTTGTTTCCAAGGTTGATGGCGGGGCCACGTCGTCCTCATCAATGGCGTCGACGAGCTTGCGGCCCTGCGCTGAGCCCTATTAGACCCGTCGCTCCTGGCGACCGATCCCTTAGAGCCGCGGACCTGCCAAGTCGGGGGCGAAACCTGCCAGGGGCCCGGCTGCGGGCGGAAGCGCGAGCTGCACGCCGCGGTCGGAGCGCAGATGTTTCGAGATTTGGAGGTTGTGATGGTTGTGGTAGTGGGCATGCCACTTCCTCTTCACCGTCGGTCGGCCCGTTCGAGCGCCCTCTGCCTGCTTCGACTTCGCGGACCACCCGGGGACATCGGGGACCACCACTCCTTCTCCCACGCCACAAGAGTTCTCAAACGCCAGGGGTCCAGACCGGCATCTAGACAACATGCCGCCTCCATGTATCTTAACTCAGAACGCGCGCAGTATGAATTGGTTGGCAGTGGCGATATGCCAAGGTGCGCGGCGTCGCGCGGAGACACGGAGACGTCGGCACGCGGTTGATCGACAAGCCGTGTTCTCTCAAGATCTTTGATCTCAAGATGCCAGCAACTCGCGCGACAGGAGCAGCGCGTTCTACGGCGGACGCGCCAACGGCTCCATGCATGCAGAGGAGGCACAGGAGGGGGTGATGATTTGCAACGTGGGCTTAATCGCCTCGATGAAGTGGCGGAGCGGTTGGCCAACATTCGCCAGTGAGGATGACGGCACAACATCTTCACATCTCATCCGCATTGGCGGCCAGGGCAAGTCAGAGACTAATCTCCTCATCGTAGACCTCGTTTCCACTCACGGCGTGCCCCTCCGCCTGCGGATGATCCACCTCCGCCGTCTGACACTCTGGTGAGTGCGCTTGGGCGACCTGCCCCACCTCGCGCTCCTCGCAGAGACGGTGGAGCACCCAGCAGCCGACAGTCCAACATTGAAGATGAGGGCCCTCCTCTTATCCAAGTGGCCGCGTCACCCATTGATAGTTCGTCAAGACAGGAACAGAGCCCAGTTGGACTGCATCCTGACGGGAACGAGCTCGATGACCTGCGTGGACATGAGCTCTGCGCCCCATTTGCGTTACTCAGGATCTGCATGAAGCAACTTTACACCCCCAACCGTCTGCTGGTGTACATATGTCGCGCTTCCGAGTGCAGGATCGGTGGCGGGCTTGCCCCCGTCGTGCCACGATGGACGAAGCTCGAGAATGGGGGGAACTCGGCAGACGGATCCATCCGAATATTGCAGGGAAGGCCTACCTGATAATTACGCTGAGCAGCCCGGGCGCTGCACGATCGGACCAGCCGGTTTGGCGCCCCTTGCGGCGGCCGATCGTTCAAACCTCCGAACTTGAGGACAACCCAGCGCCGCGTCAGGGCTTCCAGCTGCTTGCTGGTATTACTGCACACTCCAGTGTTTCTCGTCGTGGCGGGCGGCGCCTGCATGAACAAGTACATCCGGTGCGGCCGCCGCCCTCATGTCCATGTTTTGGACGTCGACCCTGGTAGGCTCGATTTGTGGGTTCCGCCGGCACAACAGGGCCATGCTGTCGTTATCTGGTGGTCCCGGGGCCTAGAGCCAGCCAGCGCATTCGAAAAGGCTTCTTACAAGCCTCCAGGCGCGTCCGAAGAGGCCCCTGCCTTCTAAAAGGCCTCGCTGCCTTCTCAGAAGCCCCCCCCTTGCGCCACGCCCTTGTGCGCGCTGGGTGTCCCTGCTTGCGGGGTCTTGGGCTGCACGGCCGCTCGCCGCCAGTGCGGGCTCTGGGGGTACTGGGGTGTCCAGCAGGACCGCGTCGGAGCCTTGGGGCCGCAAAGAGCATTCCCCTTGTGGGAGAGTGGCTGCCCACCGTAAATTTGAACGCGTCGGGTTGGGCATCCTCATGCTGTGCACAGGGTGGCTGGAGTACATACAATGTGCTACCGAGTTTCCTGCGCCAGCTGGGCCTTCCAACACAAGGTGTGCTGCACGGGTCTCGCCGACAGGGAAGGGTTGAGTGAGCTTTCGGAGGAGCTCCCCCTGCCTCCCCACATCCATCCCTCTGTTGTTGGACTGCAGTGATGTCCGTGTCAAAGACATGGGTGAATTGATGGTTTGCGGGATAAGGCTCTCCGCGCCAGGACTCAGTGTGGCCAGGCCGTGCCCCCCGTTCTTCGCTGATCTGTTCCTGACGCTTCCCGACCGTGGCCAGCGTGAACCTGAGGAGGAACAATACTGCTGGTGGTGGAAAGGTTCAGTTGACCCTTGATGTCCTCTCTGCTCCTCCATGTACTGCTCGGGTTGCCGCCTCCCCTGTCCCTTACACCATCCATAGCTAGAATCGGCAGCGAACTCAGATGTCGTTAGGTTGTAAGTGAGTGGGGGAGTGAGGGGGAGGAGGAGGAGGAGGAGGAGGAGGAGGAGGAGGAGGAGGAGGAGGAGGAGGAAGAAGAGGAGTAGGAGAGGAGGAAGTGGGCGAGGAAGAGGGGGGATGATGTGTCCTCGAACGAGTTACCGACTTTCATTTCAGGCTGGAACGGAGAACAGCTTTGGTTTGGAGGGGGCCTCGGGGCTCCTCTGGCCCTTGCCTCGGCTTTCGCCCTCGGTTCGCCCCGGATCACTCCAGCCCCGCCAGGGTTGCAAAGGGGCCGCTTGTCTTGCACGAGGCTCCTCACTGCAAGGCTTCGACTGCATGGAGAGGAGGAGGAGAAGGAGGACGACGAGGAGGAGGAGGAGGAAGAGAAGGAGGAGAAGGAGGAGCAGGAGGAGGAGGAGGACGACGAGGAGGAAGAGAACAGCTTCGTCTCTGCCAGCCGCCTTTCCAGAGTGGCATGCAGCTCTCGTTCCCTGGGTGTGCAGCGGCGGCGGTGGATGCCACCAGCACAGTGCAGCAGGCATGAGCAAAGGCATCACGTCGCAGTGCTGGCGCGGCAGCTTGTTCACGAACCGTAGCGTCCCTCGCTACTTTCGGCTGCGCGCAGAAGGGGGTGGGACTAGGAAAGCAACCTCCTGAGCGTCCAGGCCTTTCTGAGAAGCTCCCGTTGCCGCCCACTTCGTCCCGCCCCCCTGTGTGCGCCGCCGTACGTAGGCTAATTCGCCACCAGTGGCGTCAGTCGCCGCCCACAGCTCGCATTACAGCTCAGACCGTTGGCGAAGGGCTGGACCTGTTGCTGCCGTGCTCGTCAGAGCTATTTGTGGATTGGTTACCGTCCATGGCTGCTCACGGCGCGGGAGGTCATGTTCCTCGCCCTGGCCACACAACTGCATACAGCCTCTGATACACATCATGGGTCCTGCACGGCGCGCGTTGCCCGTAAGCTCGTATACAGCCGAGTTTGATTAGTAGGTCGGCCTTGCCAAGTCAACGGCACCATTGTGTCCTGTGTTTCGACGCCCATTTCTTCCACATTCCTATTGCAATGTGGCTCCGGAAGGGTCTTGTGTCCTCTCGCGTGCCCTCTCCGATCAAGCTCGACTGTAGTAGATTTTTGGTCGTCAGAGGAAGGATTTGCGCACGAGAGTATCACACGAAGTGTACATATCCATGTCACCCCCGATACGCGCAAGGCCGAGCCCTGTCCTGTCCTCACCTGTGTTGCTGTTCCATTTCCTCCTCCCCCTCCTGCTCCCGTTCCTTCCCGTACCAGCATCGTGCCCATCTCCTACTTGTCCTCCTCCGACTCCGCCTGCTCCTCCTGCTTGTCTTGTCTCGTGCGGGGGATAACCCAATATAAGTGTGTATGTATGTATATATCTACAAATTGTTACATATTTGTTGATGTATATATATATATATATACATGTGTGTATGGCGTCTGGGGTGCGTGTCCGCTCCGCTCTCTCTCTCTCTCTCTCTCTCCTCTTCTTGAAGTCTCCGATGGCGGTCATGCTGCGAAGGGAAAAGGGATAATAAATCAAATAACATTGGCATGAGCATAAGGTTCCAGGGGTCCGCGCGGATTTCGTTGCTCGGTGCTGAACACCCCATGGCCGCCTCCGGCGCCGCCCCTGGCGCCCTTTGCGGCCAGGGGGGGGTCCAGTGCCGACCCGAGAAATCCGCACGGGCCTCCGAAAATTTATGTGTATGAGTTGTTGCCCAGGGCCCCCCTCAGATGGCAGGGGGGGGTCGAACCGGGGGATTCGAACCAGAGGGGGTCCACCCCTTCAGTCCAAGAGAGGATGGGGGGTTCGAACTGGGGGGGCCTCCCCACCTCTGTCCCAGGGGGGGGGTCGAACTTCCCCTCAAGTTGCAGAGGGAGGCTCGAACCAGGGAGGGCCCCCCCCAGTTGCAAGAGGGAGCGGGGGATTCGAACCGGACGAACCGGAGGGGGGCCCCCCCGTCCCCCTCTGTCCAAGAGGGGAAGGGGGGTTTGAACCAGAGAAACGGGGGGTCGGGACCACCGCCCCTGAGCTGCAGTGGGGGGAGGGGGGGTCGAACCGCGAGGGGCCTCCTCCCCCCATGCAACCGACGACGACGGCGAGCGCCAGCGACGGCGACGGCGCCGTCGGGCAGCGACGGCGACGACGACCACGACGACGACGACGACGGCGGCGACGACGACGACGGCGACGGCGACGACGACGGCGACGGCGACGGCAACGGCGACGGCGACGGCGACGGAGAGGGCGACGGCGACCGCGACGACGACGACGACGACGGCGACGACGACGACGACGACGACGACGACGAGCGCCAGCGACGACGACGGCGACGGTTACGGCGACGGCGACGGCGACGGCGACGGCGACCGCGACGACGACGACGACGACGACGACGACGACGACGGACGACGACGACGACGACGGCGGCGGCGACGACGACGACGGCGACGGCGACGGCGACGGCGACGGCGACGGCGACGGACGGCGACGGCGACGGCGACGGCGACGGCGACGGCGACGACGACGGCGACGGAGAGGGCGACGGCGACCGACGCGGACGACGACGACGACGGCGACGACGACGACGACGACGACGACGAGCGCCAACGACGACGACGGCGATGGCGACGGCGACGGCGACGGCGACGGCGACGACGACGGCGACGGCGACGGCGATGGCGACGGCGACGGCGACGACGACGACGACGAGCGCCAGCGACGACGACGGCGATGGCGACGGCGATGGCGACGACGACGACGACGACGGCGACGACGACGACGACGACGACGACGACGACGACGGCGACGGCGACGGCGACGGCGACGGCGACGGCGACGGCAACGGCGACGGCGAGGTTCGACGGCGACGGACACGGCGACAGCGACGGCGAGGGCGACGGCGACGACGCCAGCGACGCCGACGTCGACAACGACGGCGACAGCAACGACGGAGACGGCGACGACAACGACGACGACGACGCGAACAGGGGGCCTCCCCTTCCCCCCGAGTTGCAAGGAAGTTGGGGGTTCAAACTGTGAAGGGTCCCCACCCTTGGCGCCGGCGCCGTCGGCAGCGACGACGACGACGACGACGATGAAGACGACGACGACGACGACGACGACGACGACGACGACGACGACGACGACGACGACGACGACGACGACGACGGCGACAGCGACGGCGATGGCGACGGCGACGGCGACGACGACGGCGACGGCGACGGCGACGGCGGCAACGGCGACGGCGACGGCGGCAACGGCGACGGCGACGGCGACGGCGACGGCGACGATGACGACGACGACGACGATGCGCACAGGGCCCTCCCCCCCTAAGTTGTCGGAGGGGGGTGTTCGAACTGGGGGGGGGGCCCCACCCTGCAACTGACGACCCCGGCGTTGGCGCCAGCGCCGGCGCTGTCCGGCAGCGATGACGACGACGACAACGACTACGACGACGACGACGACGACGACGACGACGACGACGACGACGGCGACGACGACGACGGCGACGACGACCACGACGACGACGACCACGCCAAAATCTATCAATCCCCAAGCAAAATCAATGAATGTTGCCTTTTCGGCCCGTCCTGTGGTCTTCTTGGAGCCCTCCTGGGGCGTCCGGGGCGCCTCTCGGATCGTCTTGAAACCAACTTCCCAGCATTCTCTTTGGGTGGAGGGCAAAGGGTGAAATCTGAAATGCCGTTTCGATGGATTTTCGAGGCTTGAACTTGCAAAAGGTGAATCACAAGACGGATTGATTTTCGAGGTGCAAAAGCCCATTTGGATTTTCACCCTCAGCCCTCCACCCTGAGAAAATGCTCAGAACTTGGGCCATCTTGGAAAGCTCTTGGCCTGAGGCCACGTGGCGCCTCTTTTTGGGCGCCTCCTTGGGGCGCGCCGGGGGCCCCCAGAGGGCCGCGCCAAAGGAGTTCCGGCATCCTTGACCCGAACTTGCTGGGACCTCGCGGGGGTATCGTTTTCTGCTGACTTATCTCAAGGGCAGAAACAATGCCCCTACCCTGGTTTACGGGGCGCTGTGAGCTGAAACTCTTGTGGGCCGACAGGCCAAACCCTGCGTGATGTGCCGCATCCCGGCGGCTCTAGCCTTTGGGGGTTCCCAGGAGATTTACAGACCACGCATTTGTAACCCGGGGTAGGGTCGTTTTTTTTTCATCCCTCAATTATCACACTAAGCGTTGCGGGAGTGCGCTGGGCACACGTTCATCCATTTGCATCTTGTGAGGCAGCTGCATCTAGCAATTTAAAGGTAGATGCTGGAAGTCGGTGCAGGTGCTGCTGGTTGGAGGTTGGTGAACGGAGGTGAAGTCTGGACGTGGATGCTATGATATTTGGTGGCTGGAGGTATGATAGGGAATGGAAGGAGGAGGATAGAGAAGGAGGAGGAACATAAGTAGCAGATGGTCACCAAAATTGATGCGCGCGTTGCAAGTACTGTGAAGGCCTCACGGCCAGTGCCGCCGACCCATACGGACGACGACGACCACCACGACGACAACGACAACGACGAGCTGATGAACCTGCCACGAGCTCGGAACATGGGGCGAGCGGTGGAGGAAGAGGAAGAGGAGGAGGCGGAGGAGGAGGCGCGGGAGGAGGAGGAGGAGGAGGAGGAGGAGGAGGAAGAGGAAGAGGAAGAGGAGGAGGAGGCGGAGGAGCAGGAGGCAGGAGGAGGAGGAGGAGGAGGAGGAGGAGGAGGAGGAGGAGGAGGAGGAGGGGGAGAGACGCCTGGGAGGCGACGGGGCTGAAGCCGTGGCCGGGGCCAGAGCCGGGGCCGAGCATAGGGTGCCGGGGCTGGGGCCAGCGAGGACCAGTGACTGGCAGAGGGACTGGGCCCGGAGTTGGGGCCGGCGGGGGGAGGGGTCCTCAGCTCCCCTGCCGACAGGGAGACCCCCCCCCCCATCCCCGCTCTCTACAGGAGGGACCGCCCGGGGGAGTGGAGGGAGGGCCACCGGGCCCCGGGGGGGGGAGCAGTAATCTAATCCAGGACACCCTCTTTACCCCCCCCCTGCACCCCCCCTTACCCCCCCCCCCCCCGCCTACCCCACCCCACCCCCGTCAGGGAGGCAAAAAGGGGAGGGAATCCACTTCATTACGATGTTTCTTTTACGGCGTTTCTCTGCTCTGTTCGTTTCTAGTTGTCCTTGGGACTGGCGACGACGACAACGACGACGACGAAGATGTCTCACACGCCGACTGGGTCGGCAGATTTCCCCTCGGTCTTGCCCCTCTTCTGATCTCTCCGCTTCTCTCGGAGATGTCTTGGCAGCGTGGATCAGCACGTGCGCGCGTGGCCGTCAGGCATGTTTTAGCTTTTCGATGGAGGAGGGCGTTGGGAGGCAAGAGGAAGGCGGGAGCGAGAAGGGATCCGGAGACGTGCGCTGTGCTCAGGCGCAAGGGGACGCGACAAGAAAGTCCAAGCTCAAGCCATTCGCGTACGTCAGGCTGAATCCGAAGGTCACCAAGGAGAAGTTCAAGGAGAAGGCCTCCAAGTCGTTCGCGAAGGTGATCAAAGGAGCCAAGAAGGGTGTAGTTAAGGCGCCCGTGCGTTTCCTTCTTGAGCTTCCCTTGCCTTTCGGCATTATGACATATATTCTCCGTGCGGTCTGAGCAACCCGCTGCCACAAGCAGAGGTAGCAGGAGGGCCGCGCGAGTGGTTGACGACCCCTCGCTAGTGACGATGCGCGATCATGCCAGTCATGCCACGCACAAGTTTGACCATGCGCTCTCCTTGGCAGATTGTATTGCCACCGCATCTTGATTGTAGATTGCTCGCGCACTGCTGCCATCTGCTGCTCATTAGCGGGCTGGCGAGCCCCACAGGCGAAATTAGTCTCAGCAAAGTAACAGTTGATTGAACCATGAGATTGCCACA